GGGGGGGGGGAGATGAGAATCATAGGAGGGTGGACAGAAGGGTATATCAGGGATCGCAGAGACTACATTATGTACACGACAGGGCTAAGCTGTTAGCTAGTTGAATTATTAAAGAACCTATCTCATCTACATGCGAAATCATCTCGTTATCTCAGGTTGCAGATGCGGCTTACTTTACCACGGACGATAAAAATAGGAAAGAGCCTTCAAAAATTTACATTCACCCTAATACCTGGAGAATATTAATTAGAATTTAGTCAATATTGAAAAAAATTATTTTTTTTTGTCTTCATTTATAATTATGAATTCACGTAGAAAAAAATACCATGTGATATAAAAGTACCACTGATTTTTTGTCTGTAGGTACTGTAGGTACTGTAGGTACAAAATCGCTACGAAAGAATTTATAATCAAGACAGCTGGTGGTGTATTTAATATATTGTTGGTTCTCACGACAGATATAAATCTGTGAAAACACAAGTAAGGGTAGCGAAGGGGAAAGATCGTGTATCGAGTGAAGGGGTTAATTTTACAAGATGATTAACCACACGCTTTGCAGTTTACAGCTGTAGACAATTTTTTTGAACGTAATTGTGCGATTAGAAATAAATGTTTAAAATCTCAATTACTCAATATTTGCCTATACGAGTGCATAGGTCGGAATGAGTCTGGCGCATAGGTACATCTATGCTTGACGTTGGCTACATCGTTTTAACGTTTTTACCTCTTTATCGTAGAATTTTCAAAGATCCAAGGACTCATGTCTTAGCAATCCCGATGAACCTAAAGAAGCCCCTAACTGTTAAAAGATATCCTTTAAGAATGTCGTCCCGTCACTGTCTCGCCGCGAGGACGCCCATGGTATCAAGTCCTGCGCTACGAAACGGGCTCCTTTTTATCTAAATTACGTGTTTTCGTCCTTCGTTATCTTGAAGAGGCTCCATAGATTCGACTCCCAATACGCCTATAGATATAAGCGCCAAGAGACGTGGCTAAGCCACTTTTAACATTCCAAGCGCGGTTCCTAACTCGTTTTCCTTTTCGTTTCGTCTCGAAATTCAAAAGTTTCAGATTATCGTGTCGCGACGTCGTTTTACAGGAATTTCTTTTTTTTGTATATATTTTAAGAAAATACACACCATTCGGCAGAAGAAATATTACACGCAATGATACGTTCACTTTGTATATGCCTTTGGTATGCAATTTAAATAATTTATTGAATCCAAACCAACCTCCATTTCGTCCGTCTGTTCTGGAACCACGTTTTCACCTGAGCATCTGTCATCTTTAAAGATTTCGCCAGTGCCGCCCTCTCGGCCGAGGCTAAGTACTTCTGCTTGTGAAATCGTTTCTCCAGTTCGGCGATCTGCAATCTGGTGAAGCTCGTTCTTGGTTTCTTCCTCTTCGGAGGCGTTCTGTTCTGGTACGGGTGTCCGATTCTTCTCGGAAAAGCACCTGCCACTGTATCAGAAAATTTGTATTCAATTAATTGACCGTAAAAATTAATAACGCACGAATAGAATATACAGATAATCGATTACGCGAATAATAAAAATTATTTATTAAATTCACTTTCGTAACCACGATCAATTTTCCATCGTACAATAACCACATGCTGTACGGATATTATATGAAACAAAAATTTCCGGACTCAAGCCATAACGACGTCTGATAAATTATATTCCTACGCTAGACACGTTAAATTATATCGCGTCTTATGTAAATCTTCAATAGTCACAAAACGCTTGTAACGTCTGGCTGGTCTGAAAAAGCAACGCAGGAACTATGTACGAGCACGTAGTACGTAAATCACCAGAGGAATCAAACGAAAATATAAATTAAGTGTAAGATTAATGTTAAATATCGCCGGTAGAACTTAAAACCAGATATCGTATTCAGAATCGAAGGGGCTGTGTGCTTTGCCCTTTTATCCCTCAGTGACAGGTTAAATTAGAGTTCATTCGTAGTGACACGCGGGTTAGGGGAAAAGCGCAGCTTACGTGTATACGCTTTGGTGCGATACCAAAGTGAGGTTAAAAGTTCGCGGCAGAAAATTCCTCGAGCGCACAGGGTGAGTCGTGAACAATTTGAGAATTTTCGACAGACACTTTTCTATATAGAAATTCGTGTAAACCATCTGGCAAGTGTATACATATATAATATATTATACATGGGTCAATGAAATTTCTGTATAAAAAAAGAAAAAGAAAATAAAAAAATACAACATAGCGAATACTAATAATATTGAATCAGATGTCAGTTCGAATACAGAGGATTGTACTGAAATTTTTATGGGGATGAAACTTGACGGGTAACGGCTCCCATAGTTGGTTCAAAAGCAGCGAATCATCGTAAAAGGGTAAAGGGCCATCAGGCGAATATTACCCATTATGGATTTCCCTCTTCCTTTCTATTGCTCCACCCCTCTCTCTCTCTCTCTCTCTCTCTCTCTCTCTCTCTCTCTCTCTCTCGTCTATAGACATCCTCTCCCTCACCCATAATTCTCTTACGTCTTGCAGTTCTCTTTCTCTCCTGGCATTAGACTCACACTCCTGTCCCCCCTTCTTCCCGCCGCATCCCTCACCCAAAGCGAAACCCTTGCGTCACTCGCTTATTAGGACGATAATCGCGTACCAGCCATTATACCCGTTAAATTATCATGCTCATAACACTATTTGCCGGCCTCTTGTAATTCACTGGTAATTACTTTCGCAGAACCGGATGCACGCCCAATAGCTAGAGACCCGAACGGCCATTGTCAGTCTAACCGAGATGAGATTCCTTTTTTTTTATTTAAAATTTAAAAATCTCTTTGTCTTAATAAGGAATAGCATAGTGGCCTTTGAGCTTTGACTTTTCGGACTAAAAAGTCAAACGTATCCATTCGAGTAATGAAAATGTGTATTGCGATATGTAAGTATGATATACCAGTGACCTATGACCTTCCGAAAGAATATCAATGGATCTCCATTATAATAAATAAATAAATCCGACGTATCTCTTGATAACCCCAATTGATCCTTGGCATATCCAATAATACACGCTACAGGTACATTTAGCTAATCCGTGCACCTGTAAAATTTCCCATTAAACATTAGTACTTTGTACGAAGTACATGTAACTCGACGCGAGTCTCAAGGCAAATAAGGCCGAGAACGATAAACATAGCGTAGTACCGTCAAGAGCCATAGGAATGACTGTACAGTAAACGCTGCTCACTTTGTCAGCCTGTATTGTCTGGCCTATTTGATCGTCCTTAGAGACGTTGGCGTGTCTAACGACAATCCGCCGAGGATAAGTCGTGCAGGAGGTGAACGTGACACCGGTGAAAAAAAGGGAGTCGTTACGAAAATGGCATCGTGTAAATGGGACTGGAAGATGCGTCAGACAGTGCGAGTCTTTACGGCCTACGTTTTCACTTAGTTAAAAAGACAGACGAGTCTGCTAAGGGTAATCTTGTATCTCCACTTAGTAGCAGTAGATATTTTCAAAAAAAGACATATAATTTTCAAAGCTAACGATAACACAGCTATACTCGTTAGTAAGGCACTCTGCTGATGTCTAATACTACTTTGTAAGAATGAACGATACACGCATATAAGTTGCCAAAGAGAAATAGGAAAATAAAAGCTCGGCGAATCTGCTGCACGAGTGGGGCATCCGGTAACGAAGTAAAGGAGGGTGAAACGGAAAGTTCTTTGGAAAGGAGTAAAACGCGAACGGCTCTCTGAATAAGTAAAAGGACACTGCTGAGCATTCGAATCTCCCCGACAAGCTCGAAGTAGACTCGACCGATAAGAGAGAAGGAAGGTTGACTATAGCAGGAAGTAGAAAGAGCGTATCAACGAAAGTCGTCTGGAGTCCCGAGAACGGAATCGGAAAGGATCGACGTAATTCTGAATAAAACAGAGGACATTGGATCGACTGGTAAGAAGCAGAGAAGAGGAAGTGGATAAAGTGTCGGAGGAGAAGAAGGTACGATCGACTCCTCTCGATAGAGAGTCTAGCCTAAACGAGTGAGAGAGAGAGGGAGATAGAGTAAGTAGAAAAGCCAGAAAGTGACAGAGGGAGACAGAGCACGTTGTATAATACATAAGAACAGAGAAGGAAAAAGGTATAGAGACAAAAGACAGAAGATCGCATCTGCATGGCTGGTGGTAGGGTTGCGCGGGGGTGGTCGTAAAAACAAGATGGCGTCGCTCGCCGCAAAATGGCCGGCATAAATAAACGAGCCCGTGCGCCAGGGACCGCGAGAGCCGCGGGGGCGTCGGGACGCCAAAGTTTTGTCCCTCGGGTATGTTCTTCCCCGCGCGAAACCTCCCGGCCGGGGCTTTAAAGGGCTGCTCGTGAAATGAGAGCCCGCAGAGTACTGGCCTTTCGTACATCATCGGGAGGTCTGTCTTGTACGAGAGAGTAAGTATAGGTGGAGTCTATAGGTTAGGTTCGTGTTAACCTCCGAGTTGCGGTGGACGATGGGAATAGGCGTGTAAATAAAATGCCCGTAAGAGGCGAAGGTGAAATCACGACGAAACGATATATCTGACGTAATGGAGGTAACGATTACCGATAATGCCGATTGCCGGTCTTCCCGTTAAACTTTATAGGTGAGGTGCGACTCCGAGCGTCTGTACGATTAAATTTAATGCTTGCGAAAAACGAGACTAAATGGGAAGTTTGTATTACTGGTAAGTGGTCGACTGAACTTTTGCTATAACGAAAATTCATTTCAGTGACGACCCTTCGTGGCAGTTTGCATAATTGTATCTTATGTGTTATTTAGTTTGAGTAGTGTGTATATAATATATATATATATATAATCGTGATTTTGATTAGGTTAGATCCAGGTTTCATCTTCTACTCTGACCCAGTGAGCTTGAGACATAACCTTTGTTGGCTTCTCAGTCCCGGTGAGTCAGGTTAGAATGATTTGATGATGCAACTAAGCCCGCTGTCAGCGACTAGAGAAAGTCATTATTGTGCCGCGCACGTTCAGTACGGTAATGGAGTTTGCGGCCTTCAAAGTAAATTGTTTTCTGGAAGGATTCCGCGGTACCGCGCGATGCGTCCGGACGCCGCTTCACTTAGGCGAAACCTTCCACACGAAAGGACGTCGAATGGACGTCGCGAGTACTTTGCTCAAATTCATTTCAACGTTGTACCATATCATCCTTTTTTTCTTAACAAAGTCATTCGCAGTTTCATATATCCAGGTGTGTACGTCGCGTACTAAAAATTCCTCTATGCCAATATACATTAAATTGACGATAAACAAAGATTACACGGCTGCTTTACAATTGAGCGGCATTCCCTTCTTATATCAATATATACATATATACCTTTCCATATTAGGTTTTCTTACGGGAATCACGGAAATGACCATGTACTTCTTTAATACGTCCTATATATATAAGATGACCGTATATGGCAAACGTAAATGGCCTATGGGCACGTATAGTGGCAGCACCCCAGCACTAGATATGTAATTTCCACGCAATGTTATCCGCCACTGAATCTTTACGAGAAGACTACCTATAAGAACTACTCAACCTTATACGTACGTATGGCACGACCCAACGCCAATATACCCACAGTGTAATTGAACCAACGTATAGCAGACAGTTAAAGAGCTTTAAACGGGTTCGTGGAAAACGTATTCTGTTCTATAAAATTACACGAGGCTATCCTCGCTCTCTCTCTCTCTCTCTCTCTCTCCCCCCTCTTCTTTGCCCTCTCCCTTTCATCCAGTCAGACCAGCACAGCATCTTCACCGAGAAGCCCGTGTACATTCTCACCAACCCCTACATTTTTAACCCTGATAATTAGGGACTCGGGTGTCCGTGCTGGTACCCCTCAATTGCACTTTGCTTCGAAAGTGCCCTCGCTGAAGGAAACGTTTCCATTGCCAGTGTATCTTTCTTCTGATAAAGCCATAGAACTTTCTATTGGCTCATTTGTCTCTTACTATTTCACCCCTATATACGATTTGCAGGTGGTGGTTCAAAAAGTTTTCGTGCGAGCGAGTATGGAGCTGCGAGCTTTTTTGACGATCGCGTCATGGTAAATTTGTGATTCTAGGGTAGGTACAATCCCATAGGCGTAAGAGGGGTGGCTGGTACGTCGAATGATGATAAAAAAAATGTCGAACGCATCTCGTTTGTCTAAAAGTTTCTCGGCCGCAGCGGAGTCGCAGGGCGGTTCACTTGCGAGCTGAGCTCGATCGGAAAAAATACGAGACTCGGGAGCCGCGATCATTTCTCAAACTCCATAACTTGATATAAGCCAACCCCTCCTACCAGCGTACAACCTACCACCCTTAAGTCAACTCGACTCGGGCGCTCGAAGCAGCAGTGGCCTACATTATCGATATTACGAGGCGTCGATAAAAAATCGCATAAAATTAAACAAACCCCACGTGCTCCCGATAAAACTTATGGTTCCCACCCTCGTGAGTTATCCCGGGC